GAAATATCTTTTCCCATCAACTTTGTCTCAGCTTGTGTGTCTCCCAAAACCCGAAGTGAGCCTCTTGTTTTGTTTTTTTTAAAGATTTTATCTATTTATCTGACAGAGAGCACAAGCAGGGGGAATGGTAGGCAGAGGGAGAGGGAGAAGCAGCCTCCCCACTGAGCAAGGAGTCTGATGTGAGGGTTGATCCCAGGACTCTGGGATCATGACCTGAGCCAAAGGCAGATGCTTAACCATCTAAGCCATTCAGGCACCCCCCACTCTGTGAAGCCAGCCTCTTGTTTGCAATAAATAGTTGGGTTTTGTTTTTTGTTGTTTTGTTTTGCCATTCTGTTCTTTGCAGAATTTAATCCATTACATTTAAAGTAATTATTGACATTAATTATTGCCATTTTGTTAAATTTTTTTTTAAAGATTTACTTATTTATTCATGAGAGACACAGAGAGAGAGAGGCAGAGACATAGGCAGAGGGAGAAGTAGGCTCCCTGTGGGGAGCCCAATGCAGACTCTATCCCAGGACCCTGGGATCATTCCCTGAGCTGAAGGCAGATGCTCAACTACTGAGCCACCCAGGCATCCCTTTTTAATTGTTTTCTGAGTGTTTGTAATTCCTTTATCCTTTTCTTTTTCTCTTATTCTCTTCCTTTGTGATTTGATCATTTTCTATAGCAGTGTGCTTCGTTTTTTTTCTTTTCACCTTTTGTGTATCTAGTTAGGTAATTGCTTTGTGATTATCATGGGGCTTACAGAAAACATTTTATAACAGTGTATTTTAAGTTGCTAATAGTTTAACTTCTAATGTATATAAAGCTCTACATTTATTCATCTCCAATATTTTAGTTTTTAATATCACAATTTTTATCTTTTTACATTGTTTATCCATTAACAGGTTATTGTAGTTTTTTTTATTTTTCTGAAACACTTATTTTTTTACATTTAAATTCAGTTACTTAGCATATAATGTATTACTAGTTTCAGAGGTAGAATTTAGTGATTCATCAGCCTTACATAATACCCAGTGCTCATAACATCACTTGGTTCCTTAATGCCCATCACCCAGTTACTCCATCCCCCCACCTCCTCCCTTCCAGCAAACCTCAATTTGTTTCTTGTGATTTAGTCTCTTATGGTTTGTCTCCCTCTCTGATTTCATCTTACTTTATTTTTTCCTCTCTTCCCATATAATCCTTTGTTTTGTAGTTCTTTTTAATACTTTTTTTCTGAATCTTCATGCTAGAGTTAGAAGTGATTTACACACCACCATTACAAAATTAGAGTATTCTGAAATTAAATATACATTTTACCTTCACCGGTGAGTTTTACATGTTTATGTGTTTTTCTGATATTGGTGTCTTTTGGTTCAGGAATTACCTTTTAAAAAAATTATTTACTTAATTAATCTCTACACCAAACATGAGGCTCAGACTCATGACCAAGATCAAGAGCCACATGCTCTATTGACTGAGCCAGCCAGGCATCTCAGGTTTAGGAATTAGCTTTAATTTTTTTTTAAAGATTTTATTTATTTATTCATGAAAGACACACATACAGAGAGGCAGAGACACAGGCAGAGGGAGGAGCAGGCTCCATGCAGGGAGCCTGATGTGGGACTTGATCCAGGGACTCCAGGATGCCTGAGCCAAAGGCAGATGCTCAACCGCTGACCCTCCCAGGCATCCTTCCTTTAATATTTCTTGTAAGATTGATCTAGTATTGATGAATTCCTTCAGCTTTTGTTTTCCTAGAAAATTCTGCATTGTGCTTCAGTGGATTCATCTTTTTTAGAACTCTTTAGGCTTCCTGGATCTGCATGTCTGTTTCTTTCCCCAGTTTGGGGATGTTTTCAGTCATCATTTCTTTGAAAAAAATTTCTGCCCCTTTCTCTCATTCTTTCTCCTGCTAGCACCTCTGTGGTGCACATTTTGATGCATTTGAGGATGTACTATAAGTCCTTTAAGCTATCTTCATTCTTTTTCATTCCCTTTTCTTTTTGTTCCTCTAATTAGGCAATTTCCTTAAGTTTGCTACCAAAAAGTAATTGGCTTTTTATTCAACGAGACTGGTATCACTGAGTTTGGAATTGCATAGAACTTCAAGAGGCCATCTTATGACTGATGATTGTTATTATGTCTGGCCAGTAATTCACTAATGAAAGAGAGATGGAATCCCTAACATGTAGGACAATTGTTTGGGTACAGATTGGGTGTTATAAATCAACTCTTGAGATAAAGTGTGCCAGACACTAATTTATTTACAAGATCTTTCTGCATGCTACCTTTTCCAAGGTCTGACTATAGTCTTCATTCAAAGCCTATGTATGATTTCTCACATCAGGGCCCACAGGGATTCACTGTCACTTGCATTCACTTGGCCTCAAGATATTATCACCTTGATTTTCCTTAGGTATTATACCAAAATTAAACCCTAGAACTGGCTTCAGGGCCAGCGGTTTTATTGAAGAGAACTATCTTAATATCATGAAGTTCAAGAATGCTTTAAGTAAATGATTGAACGTAACTATTATAATTCTATTAGTAAATCTTTTCTCTAGGCTACCTATCTCAAAATCGTACAGTTTTCTATATATCTTAGCTCCTAAGCCTTTGTTATCTTAGATGCTGTATCGCACTTTATAAAAATAGTTTTTTCACATTCTTTTGAATATAACCACTTAAAAGGAGGCAGTTTTATATCATTTAATACGGTGTGATCTCCAAGATACATTGCTAAGTGAAAAAAGGAAAGTATGTACTGGATTATGTCTATATTAAACTTTAATAACATGGGGATGTAAAAAGTCTATTACTTTCCTTGGCCTATTGTTTTAAACTAAAACTAATATTCAGCAGTATAATTCAAGGACTTATAGCAACCCAGGAATCTGTTTTTGAATCTGAAAATTACTGACTTTTAAGTTATTGTTGTTCTACATGTATCTTGTAAAAGATTGACTTGATTTTTTAGTTCAGAAAAACCTCTTTTGAATAGCTATAGCTTATACCCTAAACATTGCAAACTGATTATTGTTGTTGTTCAGAAGAACAGGAATACAGATGTCCTAAAGAAAGTTATTTCTTCTGTAGCCAGTATTATCCAGCAGGTAGTTGTAATATAATATAAAATGCCTTTGAATTAAGACTTGTAGCTAAGTTTTAAGGCTGCTAAGGGGTTGAAAAGCTACTTGGTATATTTGCCACATGCCAAATATTTTGATAAAATCTCTGAAATCAGGGATGCCTGAGTGGCTCAGCAGTTGAGTGTCTGCCTTTGGCTCAGGGTATGATCCTGGGATCCAGGGTCGAATCCCACATCGGGCTCCCTGCATGGAGCCTGCTTCTCCTTCTGCCTATGTCTCTTCCTCTCTGTGTGTCTCTCATGAGTAAATAAATAAAATCTTTAAAAATCTCTGAAATCAGTACTCAGATTTTAATGCAAATTAGTGTTGAAAGATTTCTGTCACGTATGGTTACAAATTAAATTAGCAGTCCTTTTATACTTGCTAAGTGCACATCTGGTAGTAGAGCTAAAACCACCATAACAGCTGTTGTCAGTGACCTCAAATTGACCATTTAGCCAGGACTGGCAGTTACAATGTTAGCTGTGTTAATGTGGCAAGTTAAAAACGTAAATAAAGGTTTTAATATTAGCAAATGGCTTTTTAGACATTGAACTGTTGGATTTTTAGATTGTATTGCCTTTATACATTTCCTGCTAGTTACTTATATGATACTATTTATTTTTGGCTATCTCAACATCTGAAATTCAGAGACAAGAGAAATTTTTTCACCAGAATACTGTGTAGATGGTATTTTGGTAAAAAAGATTTTTCTCATTCCTACATTTGTAAAAGAATATTATGCAGAAGATACAGTATTTTGTATATTCCATGCACAGAATCACAGCTTGGATGCTGGATTAAAAAATGGGCATATTAAATTATACTCTTTTAAGTTAAATGTATGCCATATTTGATCTTATTACTATTTAAATATTTGTGTTCTTCTCAGCTCTGGTCTTTTCTAAATATGGTGTTTGTAAAAGATTTCCAGTAGTTCCCTTAATTTTTTTAAAGATTTTATTTATTTATTTGACAGAGAGAACGAGTGGTGGGAAGAGGGTAAAGGGAGAAAGAGAAGCAGACTCCTTCCTCAGCAGGGAGCCTGATGGCAGGCTTGATCCCAGGACACTGAGATCATGACTTGAATGGAAGGCAGACGCTTAACTGACTGAACCATCCAGGTGTCCCATAGTTTCCTTAATTTTATAGTCAAAACTAAAAGTCTTATTGCTTCAGATTTGTTAATTAAATTTCCATGATATGTACTTTTATTTTTTAATGCTATTATTTAATGTACTTTGTGTTTGAAAGACTATTAGCTATTTAAACTTATGAATTCTCAATTCTGTTTTGATTTGGGATTCAAGAAATTGCATCAAAGTATAAAGTGTAAAATCAATCCCTTTTTAAAAATTTGGGTATTTAAGAATCTATAGCTACCATATATCTGTAATTATACCCAGTTACTGAGACCTTTTGAATTCTTGTATGACATTTTTTAGCTTTGTAGCTTTCAGTAATTTAAAAAATTGGGAAAATAGGGCACCTTGGTGGCTCAGTGGTTGAGTGTCTGTCTGCCTTTGGCTCAGGTCATGATCCCGGGGTCCTGGGATTGAGTCCCACATCATGCAGGGAGCCTGCTTCTTCCTCTGCCTATCTCTCTGCCTCTCTCTATGTGTCTCTCATGGATAAATAAATAAAGAAATTAGGGAAATATCTGCAAAAAAATTAAACAAGTTACACAAACATTGCCTCAACTAAACTATAAATGGTATTTGGAGGGTAAACATTTAAAGGTTTTTGAAATTCAGGTTTATGTCTCATAAAAAATCCAATTATAGATAAAAAGATAGAATAAAACATCTCTAAAAGCAAGATAGAAAATCTGTGAAAATGAGAATTCCGTAATATAGTAACACTCTGAATTCCTGATTTTAGGTGATGGAATATGAGAATAGGATTCGAGCGTATTCCACACCAGACAAAATCTTCCGATATTTTGCCACCTTGAAAGTCATCAATGAACCTGGTGAATCTGAAGTGTTTATGACTCCACAGGATTTTGTGCGATCCATAACACCCAATGAAAAACAACCAGAAAGTAAGTGCTAAAGTGAAAAATGAGATTATGATATCAATTTTGTTATATGCTTCTTTATTTCTCTCTTTGTATTGCCTAAACATTATACATTTATCCTATAATTATATTCATTGTTTAGTGACTGTATGTTAGGCATTATTCATAGTCTTTAGGAGTACAAAAGAGGAGCCAGCAGTCTAATGAGCCTGTACTCAACCAAAATACTGGGTTGAGGAGATTGTACCCAGGTGTCATCTACTAGAAAAACTTAAAGACATATACTTGTTGCCACTGGGCCAGGGGAGCACAGATGGAAGAAGTAGCAGACAGACCAAAAAGCCCAGAAAGGAAGAGACTGAGGAGGAAGACATTTCAGGGAATAGGACCTTTGAAGGACCATTGCATACACCTGGAAATCCAGAGAGTAATGTGCATGCCCAGGGCCAGACATGTTTGAAAAAGACTTGAATGGGCTTGTACCCCTTACTGATCTTTGTTCCCCATGTCAGGATGTAGTGAAAGTTAAAGCAAAGTTGTAGGAGATGTAGCTAAAAATCAAAGGAGGGCCCCAGCTCAGAGCCAGTCTGCAACCATTAGGATGTATTTTGGGGTGTTTTTTGTTTTGTTTTTTTCATTCTTTTTGCCTCCAGCTTTTAAAGAAGTTTCTGTCATGCTACTTGCTGACTGTTTAGATAATAGAACAGAAATTTCAGTGACAACACATGATGGAGAACATAATATTTGCAAAAATATTTTGGAAAAAATCACTAATCACTGATGACTGTAATTCTCAATGAGGTATATAACATCAAACACTGGGAAATAGGGAAAATCTGGCTAATTTAATTTAAAAATTTTTTAATTTAAAAAATTGTATGGCATACCAATGATCAGGAATAAATGACGCATCAGCAGAAAGAAAAAGAAATTGACAGAAACCATCCCTGAGAAAGCTCAAGCACTGTACTTACTAGACAAAGACTTTAAATCATCTGTCTTAAATCTGCTCAAAGAGCGAAATGAAACCCGTTGACAAAGAACTGTAGGAAACAAGATGAACAATGTATTAATAAATAGAGAATACCCATAAAGAGATAGCAATCCTAAAAAGGAACTGCGTAATAATTCCTTGAGCTTGAAGAGTTCAGTAGCTGAAATAAAAAATTCACTAGAACAGTTCAACCGTAGATTTTGAACAGGGAGATAGAAGAATTGTAGAACTTAGACTAACTGATACTATCTATTCAGAGGAGCAGAATGCAAAAAGAACGAATAAAATTGAACAGAGCCTGAGACGCATATGCATAATGGGAGTCCCAGAAAGAGAAATTAAGACATTTCTAAATAATCAAAAGCTGAGAAAGTTTGTTGCTTGTAGTTCTTCCCTGCAAGAAATGCTAAATGGAGTTTTTAAGGCTGAATTGAAAGAATGCTAGACAGTAACTTAATGTCATTCAAAGAAATTAAAAAATAAAGATTAATAAAGTTAACTACACAGAGAAATATAAAAGTCAGTATTGCTTTATCTTTGACTCCTTTTTGCTTCCTTTATGATTTATTTATTTTTTTCCTTTATGATTTAAAAGACAAATTCATAAAACAACAGTTGTTAGTATGTGAATCAAAATACCTTATTTTCATTTAAGATGTCAATTGTAAGATATTAATTGTAAACCACTAAGAAAATAACTTTGAAATATACAGAAAAGAAAATAAGGGAATAGAAATGGTACACTAGAAAAAATTAAACACAAGAGGGCAAGATCGGAGGATTCAAAGGGCAAAAAATATGTAAGATATATAGAAAACAAATTATAAGATGGCAGAAGCAGATCCTTTCTTATCAGCAGTCACTTTAAATGTAAGTGAATTAAACTCACCATTTTAAAGAGATTGAGAGGGATGCCTGGGTGGCTCAGTGGTTAAGCACGTCTGCCTTCAGCTCACGGAGTGATCCTGGAGTACTGGGATTGAGTCTTACATCGGGCTTCTTGCATGGAGCCTGCTTCTTCTCCCTCTGCCTATCTCTCTGCCTCTTTCTTTCTGTGTGTCTCGTGAATGAATAAATAAAATCTTTAAAAATAAAATAAAACAGATTGAGAGGAGAAAAAGTAGGATCTAACTTTATATTGTCTGTAAGAGACTTAACTTTAGCTCCAAAGGCAAGAGTTGGCTGAAAATTAAAGTGTACAAATAGTAGTCAAAAGAGAGGTGAGGTGATTATTACTAATATCAGACAAAGTAGATTTTTGTAAGAAATTGTTACATAAGACAAAGACATTATTGATAAAAGGGTCAGTTCATCAAGAAGATATAACAATGATAAATACATACATACCAAATGACAGACCCCAAAACATATGAAGGAAGCATTGACAGAATTGAAGTGAGACATAGTTCTTCAATAATTGTTGGAGACGGAGTGTCTGAATGGCTCAGGCAGTTAAGCATTGACCCTTGCTTTTGGCTTAGGTTGTGATTTCATAGGTGGTGAGATGGAGCCCTGAGTTGGGCTGCTTGAGGTTCTCTCCTCTCCCTCTCCTCCTTCCCCTGTTCTCTCTCTCTCAAATAAATCTTATAAAAAATGCTAAACATAATTAATTTTAAAAAAATAGTTGGGAGATATGAGTACTGCCATTTCAATAATGGATATAATATTTAGACAGAAGGTTAGTGAAGAAAGAGAACTTAATGCTATAAACCAGTTAGACCAAAGGCATTTATTTATAAACATTCCACTCAAGAGCAGCAGAATATGCAGTCTTCTCAAGTGCACATCACATATTCTCCAGAACAGACCTAATAGACCATATGTTAAGTAATAAAATGAATCTTAATAGATTTTAAAAGATTAAGATCATACAAGTATCTTTTTATTTATTTATTTTTTTTACAAGCATCTTTTCTGATTGTAGTAGAACGAAATTATCCATCAATAAAAAGGAAAACTAGAAAATTCATAAATATGTGGAAAGTAAACAACATGCTCTTAAACAACCAGTGGATCAGAGAAATCACAAGAGCAGGTAAAAAATACTTTGAGATAAATGAAAGAGAAAATGGAACTTACCAAAACTTATGCAGTCCTCCAAAAGCAGTGCTTAGAGTGAAACTTAGAGCTATAAACACCAACATTTAACCAGAAGAAAGACCTCAAATCAGTTTCCTAAAAACTGTTGGCACTAAAAGGAAAGCAAACAAAACCCAAAGATAAGGAAATAAGGAAATAAGTTAATGTATTAATAAATGAAATGGCAAATAGAAGAACAAGTACCTCAAAAATGGAAATATCCCAAATGTATTGTTTAACAGCTGAATGGATAACAAATTATAGTGTATACAATGGAGTATTATTTGTGTGTGGATGCACCTTGACAACCTTATGCTAAGTGAAACAAACTAACACAAAAGACCACATATCATATGATTTTATTTATATGAAGTATCTAATAAAAGTAAATCCATAAAGATAGAAACTGGGTTGTTAGTTGCCAGCAGCTAGGTCAAAGGAATGAGAGCCGACTGCTTAATTGGTGTGAGGGTTTCTTATTTGGAGCGATGAAAGTGTTTTGGAACTAGATAGAGAGGTGATAGTTATACAACATAGTGAATGTACTAAATGCCACCGAAATGCACTCTTTGAAATGGTTATCTTATTTTAATTGAATTTCACTCTGTTTTTATTTATTTATTTTTATTTTTTTCACTTTATTTTTAAAAGGAGAAAAAAGAATGTGTAGTCAGTCCTCATTTGCAGATTTTGTGTTTATAAGTTTGCATACTCACTAAAATGTACTTGTAACCCCATAATCAGTATTCGCAGTGCTTTTGCAGTCATCCGCAGGTATGTGCAGAACAGCAAAAATTTGAGTCACCCTTTACATGTTGGCCAGCTGAAGTCAAGCAAAGTAACGCTCTGCCTTTTCATTCTTTAAACAAATGTCCTTGGAGGGAGGACAGGAGAAAGGACGGAGAGAGAATAAAATGTCTTTAAACACAAACACACAGAAAACAAGGTTTTATATATATTGATTGGTTAACAAAAATTTTGTGACCAGAGGTTCAAGGAACCTAACCCTTTATTTCCCCTAGGAGAAATAGGTCAGTATGCAGCAATTCATTTTTCATGGCAGTTTTATAGAACATAAATACCACAATTAGCACAAATCAGTTGTATATGGTATAGGAGTAAGATGTAAATGAAACTATTCTTTTTAGAGGATATGTTTAAGGAAGATATCCTAAAGGAAGTGGCATTTGAGTTGGATTTTGAAAAAAGAATAATCATTCATTATATATTTGAGAGGGAAAGGGCATCACTCAGAGTGAGTAAACTGCATGGTCGAAATACAGACATGTGAAATAGTCTGAGTTTGAGGAACCAGAAAGAAATATGATGTTTTCTAACCAGGGAGTTTATAATGTTTTGGCCATATTTATTAACATTAATATATGTCTACAACAATTGAAAACTCTAGGTAGAATTATTACCCCTCAAAGATGCAGAAAATCTTCTATGTATTTGTATCTTTTTGTTATGGAAAATTTCAAATATAAAAATAAAGAGAATAATATAGTCAATTTATATACACCCATTACTTAGCTTCAACAGTTGTCAACACATGGCCAGTCTTGTCTTATTTGTAACTTTCTTACTTTTCTTCACTGCAGATCATTTAAAGCCAATCAAGACATTGTATCATTTAATCTGTAAATACCTATATGTGTGTATAAAAGATAAGTACTAAAAAAGCCAATAATAACAATAATCTTTAAATATTGCACTTTTTAAAAAGAGCATTCATTTCTTTATAGTAAAAATATCCAGGCACTTCAATTTTCCCTGTCTTGAAAACATTATGTATAGTTGTTTTATTCAAACCCACATCCAGAGATGGTTACACACTGTATTTGTTATCTCTAAAGGCTTTACCCACAAGGTTTTTTTCCTCTTTTTTTTTTTCCTACCATTTACACAAGACAAGCTTTATGCCTTATTTCACATCTCTCATTCTACCTTT